TACTAATATATATATATATATATATATATATATATATAAAATTAAATATCGAAATATTAGTTTCCTTAATTTTCTTCATTTCAATCATATAAAAAAAAATACGATTTTTCTCTCATATTATTTAATTATTCGTTTCACAGAATACCAATTTACAATTGAATCGGACGCCAGAAGTTATAAACATTATATTGATTTTCATATTTTGCATTCGAACTATTTTTGACTGTATATAAGAGAATCGTAAATAAAATTATGAAACATTTAAAAGTCTTATGAGAAACGGTTGCCCTTTTTCAGATATTTCTGCAATTCGCACGAATCAAATCGGAGTCAGAATATGAATTATTCCGTGTTTATCTCTTTCGTAATAGTATTCATTTTACAAAGACATTTTCGATTAAAAAGTTTTTATCCTGTATCCTGTATCAGTTTATATTAAAGCAACTTTATTTTAGTTTTGGATAAGAAATATGCAGATAACAAATGTGTTTTTTGCGAAAATCCAAATATCGTAAAATGAAATTTTAACATTTTTTCTCTTGTTCTTGCGATAATTTTGATATTTATTTCACCAGCTATTTTCAAATTGTTAAACATAAAAACAATTAAAAAAGAATTTTTTTTTATTAGATATCACACAGGGCTGCAGTGTGCTGCAAACAAATGGCGAACACCAGCTGTGCGGTGGATTATGAAGGAACCACGAGGGAACAAAATACCGACATATTATAGCGATGTTGTAGGATAAAGTCTAAACATTTATTATTCAATCTCTTTCGCTGCGAATTTTTCTTCTTTGCAAAAGGAGGCATAAATTTAATGGGAAAATGCAATGCGTATAGTAAAATGTTAAACGAGAAACCAAATATCTAATAACTAATGAAACCAAATATCTAATAACTAATGAACGAAAATTGAAATATAGTCAACAATATGTGCTGGTAATAATTTCGTTCATCTTAAATTCTAATATATATTAATTTAGATAAATTATCACATTTTTTTATATTTTTAGTAATAAATTTAATATTATTTATTTTGGCAAAATGGAAAGATAAAACATAAATTACTATTTTCCAATTAATTAAGGTTTGCCATTCTATTTTTATACGTGATATTAAGTATATTTCTCCGTGATTAATTCTATTATTCTAAGTTATAAATTCGTCTTACATACAAATTTTATTAATTATTAATTGTGTCAATTGTATTCATGTTAACATAACAGTATATGTAATTTAATAATAATCTCAATGCGTATTTTTAAGTCGTCAATATAATATTTGTGGAACAAGTTAGTAGTTATAAGAGATTCTTTGAATTAAATATTCGAGAAATGTACAAAAATATCCAAAAAATATTGGAAAAATGTCGAAAAATATCCGAAAAATTTCTGAAATAGGTCCGAAAAATACTCGAAATATATTGAAACAATGTTCGATAAATATCTAAGAAATGTTATAGTATATAGTAATATCACGGGTCGAATGATAAGAGTTTCAAGTTATTACGATCTAACAGCACTAGTTTAGAGGAATGTACTACAAACGGATGTTCTATCATTTACAGACTACATGTTTGTATATTGAGAGAATTATTAGTTATTATATAATAATAATAAAATTATTATATAATAATATAGTAATAATATTGATTACGAGCATTTAAGTATTTTAATATTTATTTCTACATTAACAGAAACTCTTTTTTCTTTTATTTTTATTATATTTTATAAAGTTGTTTCAAGTTTTACACAACATTCTTATTCTGAGTGCGCGCGCGCGCGTGTATGTGTGTGTGTGTGTGTGTAGTATGTGTGTGTGTGTGTGTGTGTGTGTGTGTGTGTGTGTGTGTGTGTGTGTAAAATTAATTTATCACTTCAAAAATTCAAAATATCCTATATTTTACTGCGTTGCGTTAACTTGTATCAATTCCATCTCTTGGCATAAGCGTAGCACTAGCGTTGCACCAACGTTAGATATCGTCGGTTCCTTTTATGTCGATGAAGGAACCTCGTTGTACCTTTCTTCGTCACGGAAAGTTTCGTCTGATAATCAACCGGCTGAGTGTTGAAGATCGCTTTTATTGCTCCGCGTGCGCAACGGGAATTCTGAATATGGGTGACACAGGCCGGGTGTGACTTTCCATGACCAGATGTCGGCAGTCTGTCCGTAACCGGTTCGATCCGGAGTATACCGCGCATGGAGCAACGCGCATTCCCATTGACCAGTCTGTAGTCGGAGGCGCCGTGCACTCGGGCATTTAGTAATCGTACGGCATCGTTGGGGGAACACTGTGCGCTCTTTAACGTCTCAGTCTCGTCACGGTGCTTTATCTTCGCACTCGACGTCTCGTACGTCTCACGTAACGTCGAAAAGACGAGCAATTTCGCAAAGCGATCGATCGGCGGCTATTCGAATCGAACGGGGCGCGATTGATCCCAGAAACGCGCGTTTTCTTTAAGAACTAAGGTGACCTTATCGCGATCGAGGCGCGAACGAGCCATCAAGGTTTTCGCATAGTAGTATTCGCGTTTAAAGACCGCGCGAAAGCTGCAACTCTTCTTCAGTACGCGGACCCCGCAGCGGAACTCACGCAGGAAGAGGTGAGTCCCTGACCAGCTGTCCTCTCCACCTGTCTACACCCTCTCGTCCTTTGTCTGCCTTCGTCGCCATCCCTTTGGAAATCTCTCGACCACTTCGACACCTATCGATCAGCACTACAGTCTATATTATAATTGTGTATTTGATGTGCGCGCTCGTGATCGATCATGTTGGTGTTAGTTGCTTGCACACGGGCGCATCTCGTATCTCGTGTTCGCACGCGGACCTCGTCATCGTCGTCTTTGACGGAGGTTGCAGTGGCGAACCGCGGTCGATGACGTTGTGTCATGCGGCGCTGCGAAGGTCGAACCTGGCGCGCTAGATCGATCGCACGCCAACGACATCGCGCAAACGATCTCGCTGTAGCGTCGTTTTTTAGATGGAATCGGTTCCACTGGGGGCGAGAAACGGACGGGAAACGGGGTTAGACTGGACGATCGATCGTTCCCAGGAAAGACGTCGTGAAAATGAAATAGCCAGTGGCAGTTGTCAGCTCGAGCATCGAGCGCATCTATTTACATGCTGTTATGTACCGCGATACTTATAGCGCTTGGTCCAATTATTCTATTCTCTGTCAGATTTTTTATCTTCAAAAATTTAAATATTTAATAGAAAAATTTGCTTGGAAGAATGCATATGAATAGTGCACACAGACAAAATTACCTCTTGTTTTTAAACTTCCTAATAACTGGAATATCTAGAACATGCTTACATAATACGATAGCTTTCACGAATCGATCATTTTTAATATTGAATTTCATGTCTATAACTACAAAAGGTTAAGTAATAATTTCTACTTACTTTTAAATAATCTACATCTTATAATATTTAGTTAAAGTTCCAAATTAAAAACATCGAAAAAAAATGAATAGTTATTTTATGTTAGTTTTCCAAAAAGTTTAAAGTAATTTTCAGTAAGAAGAAAATCTTTTACATTGTTTCTAAAAATAAAAGGAAACGGAAAATATCTCACACGTTTTATTTCTTATCAACATCCAACAACTATCTTAATCGCTATCTGATCACAAACATAACAGCTTGCAGCTGCTTCGACGATGCTCAAAGCGTACTGGTCATCGCTACATGAGTTGCACAATATTGAAAATAATCTCAGGATACGAAAATAGACTATCACACATGATAAGATTTCTCGTTGAATCAGCTATTTATCTTCAAAATTATGTGTTAAAACCAGCTATGATATTAACTTTCAAAAAAGTGTCTAGTATAAAATATCATAGAAAAATTTTTACTATTAGACAAAACTTACGTTTACCCTCTAAAAGTTCATTTTGTTATATATTTTATTATAATAAATAAGAAAAATAAATAATTTCATTAATCAATACGCTTTCAAAAGAAAAAAAATGTAACAGATTCTTTATTTGATAATATAAAAAAATAAAATATAAATAAAAAATTCATATTTAGAGATAAATATATTTCTATAATTACCTATAATTTGATGTATATTACATTTCTCCAACGGACAAATCAACACCAAAAGTGTTCAATTTGAAATTTAAAAATCTGCATTTTACAATAATTATGTAAAAGAAACTCTAATCTATATTTATGTTCACATAAATTTCTATTTAACGTATATTTAACATACATTTTGCTCTTCTGTTCATCAGCTGGTCTTAATATCTTGTCTTGCATCCAACAATCGACCATACGAAATTTCGACAAGTGCAACAAATAATCACTTGATCAATTATTAGTGAAGATTATTAATGATACATTTGATGAAAACTAATGTAAATATAATATATTTCTTAATGAGTTCTCTATCGTAACAGCTATTAAAATTCCTAATGCCATAGATCAGTTGGATTCGGTGGAGTCGTCAAGTCGCCTCGGTTAGCCTCGGACGAAAAATTAGATGTCGAGAAACGGGGTTAACCCCGACGTTACACGCGAGTATCCACGCGAAAAATCAATACGCGACTCTCCGGGGGACCCGCTTACAACACGCGCGCAGAAGTCTATCCGCGAATTGGAGATCATCGCGTGAACCCCGCGTGTGAGATGGCGATATGCATACATATTTTTTTCGGAAAGGTCTCCTGACGAGATCGATTTTTCCGTCTACCTAGCGCGAGACCGTAAGCGAGCCGAACTCGCAGCTGATCCAGCTACACTCGACCACATCATCGATATTTGAAGAGCTTGGCTCCAGAAATGGTACGCGTTCTCGCTGCGGAGTGGGCTAAATTGAAATAGAAGACTCTCCTCCTTATCTATCTTATCTTTACTTCTTGTGAATTATTTTAGTATTCACCTTTTACCTTTCTTTCACACTTCTCGGAATATTTCAGTTTATGCTCCTTATGGAGATTCGAAATTGACTGGACTTCAAAGTATTGATGCACTTCGTTAATGCAATTTTTTTTGTCCAAATTGTTAAACATTTCTTAAATCTTAAATCTTTGATTTTAATAATTCTAATAGTAACTTATTTTAACATTTCTAGAATTATTTTACTGTAAAATAATCTATTATTTTTTTCATTAGGAGATCCTTCGCTTTAATACATAGTTCTCATTCTAAATGTCTAGTAATAATGAATGCGTAATGTATAATCTTGTTGTATCTCATTACGGAATAAATTCTTTTGACTGACTGGAAATCTTAATTAATAGCGCGCATGTTGTCAGATCGGTGCTAATATTTATATACTATATTTTATCTGAAAAAATTTATTTTTCTTTAGAAAACAAGTTACGATTCTATTTCTGCAATCAATAACCGACTGATCTATGGCTTAGCATATATTTGAAAATCTGATTTATTTAGAATAATTCATTTCATAACATAACTTTCATAATTAAATACTACCTAATTGATTATTTGCAATTCATTAAACAAGTGTATCATATCAACGAACGGTTATATTTAGAACGATTATATTTATAAATCTGATATCTGTGCAACGAATTAAATTTGTTTATCAATTATTCTTGATAGTAACACATGAAATGATATGAAAGATTGATAAAGAATAATGTAGGGATATCTTTTGCGTATCTCTTTTGATCAATGGATTGGCGAAGTGACGAAACCGTACACGTGCCGATTTGTTTACTGCGCAAATCTTATTTTGCACGCATTTATCTATTTTCGTCACGAATTAACGTCATGTTCCGTGTTAGCCTTGCGTGCGAAATGGAATCAATAATTTATATACTTCAAGAAGAAACTTCCCGAATTATTCCGTAAATTTTTACTTTATTAGTATTTATTAGTATTATAGCACGCGCTTGATTTGCTGTTAAAGATAGTTGATTAGAAGATAACTAGATACTGATCATTGTTTCTTATTCGCATGTTTTCTGTTTACCAACAATCACATACACATACATGCATAAACAAATACTTTAAGGATTGGCATGCCGCCATGCATGGTTCCTCTGATATATAGTGAAGTCGATAAATTTTGTGCATGTAATAACCACTTCTGACACGTATTTTCAACCCTCACATTTTAGCGAAAACGAGGCATCGCGAATAACATTTTCAACTTGGCAATTGATTCAGCACGACAAAGTCGTGCACGAAATTTATACCTAATTAAAAAGAAGAAGTCATTCCAACTTTCACATATTCTGATTAATTTTCACAAGCGATCTATTTCTCTCAAACAATCAGAAGACACGGTAGTGTTTCGGGTGTCAAGTCAACCATTGAGAACAACACTACCGTGTGACTTTACGCGAGTCGACGAGATATAATATAAGTAGGATTTTTCATAAAAAGATTATTCTGAATATTACATTATTAAACAATTATAAATAAAAATAAAAATAAAAATGTTTATTTTATTCAAAATAAAAAAGAATCTTTTTAAAAACATTCAAAAAATTTGTGTTTGTGTCTATTATATTCATTAATTAATATGTGCATTCTTTTATTACTACTATGTTATATAACATTTATGACAATAAAATGCAGACTAAATCTGCATTGATTTAGCAAACATTGCAACAATGAAAGATACTAAAATACTGAAACAATAATAGTTTGCTCGTTTACTCAGTAAAAATGACGGAATTGTTTGAGCTTTTATATGCACATTCGTAAAATAGGATTTCTTATCTAGAAGTCTAGCTAGAATTTCGAGACAAGTTTATATCTTTTTTCTATACTTGTGTACAATCTGAATTTCAAGTTTAAATTGGAGTTTGATAAAACTCTGTTTATACTAAAGAATATATTAAATATATAATGAAGAAAGTTTATGTATTTCAGAAGTTTGTGATATGAAAATTCAATTAAATAACGCAGTTCTCTTCTTCCTGTGCCTTTCTCTCTTTTTTCTGCATTATTCTATTTATTTTATTCATACAATAATTTAATTTTTTAATAGTTTTATATTGCAAATTCCGCGTAATATGTTTAAAATACTTTTTATAAAGATAACGGTTGCACAGGATAAAAATTAATAAAAAAATTAATTTCAAAATATAAATTAAAAATATTAATTCTCAAAATAATTATCTGTTTGAACAATCAATAAATATTCATTGCAGTTGTTAATAGTCGCTAATAATAATTAAATATATTAGACACAGATATATTATTAAAGTATTATACTCATGTTAAATTTATTCTGTTTCGACAAAAAAGAAAATAAATGTTATAGAATAAAATTCAAAGTTTAATTAATTGTGAGATTATCAGGACATATTTAAAAAATTTAATGTACTTTTAATTTAATCGATAATTTAATCGATATAATTAAAAAGGAAATTGAATATCTGCCAGAATGAAGTATTCACACTTTTACTTGTCTATTTCCTTTATTATAAACCTAGAGAAAACTTTTAATACTTTTTCTACTTATGCGAGCAATAAACACGATTTTAATTACTGATAAAAATAAGCAAAGAACAAACGCAATACGTTCTTATAAACGCTTCTAATAAAAACTAGTTAATAATTACATTGGTATGATGTTGATTAGATTATAATCTAAATTATAATTAATAAAAACATTAAAAATTGTTAATATTATGTTATCTATGATTGTTGATGTTTTCTTAATATTTTTTTTCAAAAGAGATGTAATTACAATCAAAGAACCGCCGATGCCTCGAGTCGCGCTGCGATCGCTGTCACAGAATCTCCTTATATTTGTTTTTTTCTTTCTTTTGTTCTTTTGCCGTTCGTTTGCCTTGTTGACGTGCGATATTGGCAATATCGGCTTCGGGCACGCCTATCGTCATCAACGAACAGCAGAAACGTCTCAGTTTTCGGCGCTTTCGAGGCGAGTCTTCGCTGAGAGGGCACCTACCTAAACAGTGGAAACCATCATCCCCAATCAAGACGACAATCAATTAGGTCATCTCGAGAGACGAGAGACAGCATTGCGAACGAAGCAGGGCGACGAAAGGTCACGCCATGCCAGCAGGTACTGGCGCTTCGTACAGGTCATTAGGTGACCTGGGCGAAGACGTTTACAAAAGCACAACTATCGTCGACCAGACACAGACCACCGGCCAGAGCGTTTTCGAATCCGTGAAGAAGGCTTTTAGCTTCACTTCACCAAAGGTTGAGATACGAAAAAAGGACCCATTGATTGAAGATCGTCGCGAAAACACCTCGATCGTCTCAAGGTAATGCTTTAAAAGACATTTTCCGGGATACGGGAAATTACCGGTCGACAGGTGGAGGTACGATCGCGAATATGTTGTTTAGTGTTCCTCGACCTCTAAACGAATCTAATCGCTCTTTCAAGCATTGATAATTCACGACTCTTTATTAGGATCGTACAATATTTATTTGTTGAAAAGCTATACTTTGACATTCTTCTTACTTCTATTTATGTATACAATTTATTAAAAATATATATAATTCCATGATTTGCAATTATTTTTAAAATCGGAAGTTTCAATTCTTTAAACAAAGTATTCTTTTATTTATATACATTTCTCGAAATAAAAATTAATTTGCCATTCTAAAATTTTCACTTAAATTGAATTATCATATAATTAACTTTAATTCATGTAGAAAAATTGTATTATATAATATACTATACTAATATACTGTCATAGCAAATTATTTCATAATACTTAATGAATTAAGTATTCAAAATAAATTAACTCTTATAATTAATTAGATATAAAAATTTAGGACTAAAACGTATCAATTATTAAACAATAAAATCATCCGCCTAAAATTTATCAATTTGATAAAACTGTCATATATTCTACATTAAAATTTTTCATGTTTTATTCAGCCTACTTCTAATAGATTATTTTTAATCACGGAAAAGCCGCTGAAATTTTGTAATTCGAAGAATTATATCATAACATACTCCTAGAAAATTGTTTTAAATAAAATAAAAAGATTCAGTTCTATCTAGTTCACGCTAATATACAGCGAATATTGAGGACACTGAGCTCAAAGACAAAACGGATGCAATCAGCGACGGAACAGTTAGTGCAGAGTCGTTAAAGAGTTTGTGGGCGACGAGCATTTCGAGGTCGAAGACATCGGAGCATGGTTATAGAGCTTTTATGGTATGGAATACAAGTTTCATGAAATCGTTATGTTATTAACGCGGTTCTTATAACTTTTGTTGTCACGGTTACATAGGCTAGCTAATGTCTCTATATTAAAG